TTTTCCAATTTTATTATATATTAGTAGATTTGATCGATTAAATATTGAATTAATTAAAAAGTTTTGTCTAATGAGAAGTTTCGAGATAATTTTTATTATATTAGAAATATTTAATAAAAAAAAACAATTCTAAAACAAATAATGATTTTGTTATTAATTATCAATACATATTTGTTGTATTTGTACATCATTACAATTGAAAATTGTAGCGAATTTTTGTTAAAAAGTTAAAACTGCTTTAATTTCGATTAAAATAAGATATTCGTTAATTTTATAAAATTTGAAGAGTAATTAGCTATAACTACTAAATATATATATAAAATAACTATTAAAATTATTATTATAGTTATATACAAGTAATGATAACCGACATTATTAAAAAGAATTAAAAATTAATTATTTAGTTAATTTCTAATATAAAATTCACAGATTATCTTTGATATACCGTAGCTCGAAAACTACCTATTATTGAGCCTCGTATCTATGGCATCTTTTATTCATCATATTAATATAATACATTGTATGTGAAAACTGACTCACTTTATAGGAATCTAATTTTTCATACATGAGGTGTACCCCGTTATTGTAATAATTGTATGATAAAGTAGGTCCCATGAAATAAGTTAATTTTTACATATGATGTAGCTTATAATGTGGAGAAAAAAAGGTGTAACTTGTGCTCACAGTGTACCTAATACACTGCAGCTCAAAAACTATATACATACATGTGAAAACTAACTCATTTCGCCGAGATTCAATTTTCCGTATAATTAATTAGTGTGGGGTTCTTTAAACCAATTTCCTTAAATTAAGTAATATTTTATCTATGGTATAATTTTCATGTAAAAATGTATTATTTTTAAATAAATAACATGTATTATAGTTAAAAAAAAACAACGGTATCTAATCAACCTATTTCTGTGTATGTGAACTGTTTAATTTCAAAACAAATAATGTTCATATAATATATGCACTTACATTAGCAAATAATAAATTAGATTTGAATCAAACTTGATTTTTTTTAGTTAAATTGTTCAACTTCATTATTTTCATTCAATTAACGACATATTGAATTAAAGACCTATAGGAATCATTAAAAATGACACAAATTGGGGATACCACTTGACATTACAAATTTAACAGTCGGACCCTATTCTGTGAAAACGTAAATTGTTCATCAAACGGATAATCCTGCAGAATGAGCATTTAAATAGATATTGTGATAAAGTCGATTTTATTGCACGAATACGTAACGAAGTGTCAGAATGACAATATACAACAAAAAACGTTATCAAGTTTTACATAAAAAATTCAGTAGTGTGTGTGTGTGTGTGTGTGTGTATAATCAAGTAATAAAATTTTCAAAAATTAAAATATACACATTTTTTCAAATCTCTTTGAAGTATTTCGAAATTGTTCAGAATCCTATTGACAGTGAATTTGTTTTACTGGAAATACCGCTTTCAGGGTTTCTCTAAAAGTGAATAATCTATAAAACAGATATTCACTAATTCTCGCGCAGAACAAACACTCAGATGAATGTTACAAAGTCCTGCTCGTTGCATGAACGCGCGACGTTCCCGGCTAATAACAGTCGGTCTCGGCACAAACGCGGACGCGCATGCGAAGCAACGAGATAAGACTTTGGGCTAAAACCGTGTCGTGACGGGATGTCTGCGCTATTCCATTCTCGGTGCCGCCGCGCCGGTTACATATGATGCCGCTCGTCCACGAAACTCGCGTGCACGAGTGCGCGACGTGTGAATGCAATTCGACGCGTGCACGCCTCCTTCCCGGGATGTCATATTTCCCAAACAAGAAACGTACGAATTTGCGACAAGAGGCTTAGAGAAGTGCAGATCTTTGCATAACGCATAAAACATTAAGAAATCGACTAATCAGAGTTCTTTACTTCATGAAAAGAAGAGAGGCTGACTGATTTTCTTTTTGTATTGTGACAGCTAATCAGAAGCATTGATTTTTAAATTTTCTCTTTATGTTTAGTTGGAACTCTATAACAAAGTATGACTAATTGAACGATTTTGTCAAAACAAGAGTAAGAAGGAAGAATATATGTACTGTCTCCTTTTATCATATGTATGTATGTGCTATCTCATTCTAACTTATATGTATACTATCTTACTCATTCTAACTTACTAAAGCTGATAAAAAGCCATTCTTATTTTAAGACCGTCTTTAATAATGTCTTGAGATTCCAATACAACTCTTTGATTGATTTATAACATTTTGGGATTGTACCTAGGATAGTCTTAAGAATCGACTATAAATACTGGTTTATGTTTGTCGCCGTAAGTTTACGATCGATTTGCAATTAATGTAGAACTAGTTTTATGCAAACGTCTGTACTTTAGTCTTAAGTTTCAAGCGATAGATGGAGAGCGTCTCGAGTGCCGCGAAGACGCAGCTAAGACGCCGGTTGCTTGGAAAAGCAAAATAAGCCATTATGATTGCCGCACGAAATCGAAAAGAATCGAGCAGCAAAAACGTTGCACAATGTCCCCGCGGAATCTCTATGGAATCTCTACGCGCAAAGTAAATCTTATTATATATTTATTTATACTATTACGCTATTAAGATCACATCAGGTACCTAACGAACCGAATCACCATAAGTGACGAGCGCTGGCTAATTTAGTTCCCCGAACTGCGCGCATGCATGTGACTTCTCGTCCTTCTTTTTTTTTTTACCCGCGCTCGGAAGTCGGAGCACGCGTCCGACGGAACCAGCTGCTTATCCCAGGATCTCGGGTGCACCCTCTAAGATCGGCTAATGCGATTTTGGTGGCGCAGCGCGAGAAAGGGAGGACATGGAGAGGCAGTTCCCGAAATTGCGACAGAACCAACGGACGAGTTATGTTCGCCCGCGACGATTTTAAGACGATAAGACATTAAGGAGACACCGATGAAGCCACGTAATTGATGAGTTCGTGGCGTGACGACGCCGCAATGGCGGACGCGCCGAGATTAAATCCATATAACGCGGTGAGACATTTGATGTAAATAGCAAAGAATTAAAATTTTACAGTATTTGTCGAGTGGTTAATTAATATCGTGTCTCGAAAATTAACCATCCTTCAAAAATAATGTTCGCTTAATTATTTATTATATTCCTCTTTTTTCGGAGGCAATTATCACACGAAAGCCACAGCGACTTCTGAGGAAAAATGTTGTCAGAGACGTCATTTTGATGCCAAAATGACGCAGAAATGAAGTCAGCTTGCTTCCTACTACACTACGTTATAGGTATAAAAGAAACGTCATCAATGCTCGTTCCATCAAGCGATCTGAAAACTTGACGATTGATGAATTGCTGGTAATTGACGTGGCTCGAGAGGTCATTCGAAAGCGGGTGAGGCCGATGCACGTGTTGTACGTGCACGTCCGCCGTTCGCGAAATGTAGATCGGCGGTGATTTACTTATCAACAATCGGCTCTCCGCCGGAGGTAAATGGTCGAGTCGTGACCATTAGTTCGTGGATCACGGGTATACGTATGGACCGATCCCGTACCTATACGAAGCGACAACGCGCGCGAAACGACACCGTGTGAGGCCCGACTGGGATCCCGACACGACATCAGGCCCTCCGCTACGGCCCTGCATAACGACGCGTCGATATACGTTACGAGAATCATTTTACCAGAGTTTATTTATTCGATTCCTATACGACAAATTAAATATGGAAGTTATTTTCACCGTAACTTTCTTCTCACAAATGTAAGCCAAAGTTACGCTATTTAGCCAATTATCTATCTTCTTTCTTATCAGATGTCCTTTTAAGAACTGATTTTCTTAAATATTTTAAGGCGAATAATTCTAACGTGAAAATGTCTAGTAAAGTTCACGAGTCATAGAGCTGAACATTTTGCGCGCTCGAACATATGATGTTACGACAAATGGAAAAAGTGATATGACGAATCCATTTATCAATGTCGAGATTTTTATACAAATATGCAACATTTTTATGTAAACATTTTTTTCTGTTACTATCGCAGAAAATATGCAATTTATATACTGAATTTGTCGCCCGCCCGCCCTTACGTCTCTATCACACTATGCATCCATTGGAGACTGAAGATTAGAATTCAGCCAGTTGGAATGAAATGGAATAAAATTAAAATTACACCTGATCGGTCGAATTCCAATCTCTTTAATTCACAATGCTCAATCACAAGTACTAATTATATTCCTCGCAAGAACGTTTTTTATACGGAAACTTGGAAAACTCTCAGGAGATTCGAGTTTCAAGAATGTTCTGAAAGAGAGAGAAAGAGGATCGCGTATTTCTTAGAGCGAAACAACCTCGAGGAGGAACTCGCTCAAAAATTACGCTCCACATTATCCTCCGTAATGCGGCTCTGTCAGTGCAATTTGTAGGTAGTTGCGAGCATTCGTAACGACCGAAATCACAGGTGCGCGCACGCTCGCGGAGAAACGCCAGTTACGCAACAGGCGACGCGACTCTTTTTCAGAGGCGGCTCTTCAAATCGGCCCTGGAAATCGGCGGTAGAAATTACTTCGCGCTTGACTTGCTCGCGTGAGTGGAGCGGCTATTCTCGGCGACTTCGTAACAAGCCGCGCGCGGCCTCGTCCCATCGAAAATAGGACGAAATCGCTCAGCAGTCGCGGACATCAATAAGATCGTCCACGTTGGAGAAATCAAGATTCTCTCTCCTGAAGTGTCGAGCCTCTCTTACGCGAAGGTATTCAGCGATCCTTAAGTTAAGAGGTCCTCTTCGAGCTTGAAGTGCAATTGCGAGCACGTTAAATAGCGACTTCGTATCTTCTTCTAGTATTTGAATCACTGATTCAAACGCGTCTCTTTTTTGCGCGCGTTTTTATTTTATTGTCAAACATCGGTTTGCGCCAATCTCGCCTACGGCTAACGTCGGCATTATTAAAATTTTCTTCCTTTTTCGACGTCACGGATAAAAGAACTGATTACGCTAGATTGTTAATTAAAAAATCAAGCGTTCGCTCACCGATAGTAGTCCTTCTTGCAGTAGATATTGCCGTCTCTGATGAAGCAAGTGCCCTCCCCGTCGAGACCCTGGCGACAATGCGAGCACTGGAGGCACGCGGCATGCCACCTCTTATCGATGGCCTGAAGGTAGAACCTATCTGATATTTTGATACCGCATCCCGCGCAAACTACGTTTCCCGGAACATCTTCGGATTGCGAGGGCGGCGTAGGCGGCGGTTCCAGCTTCGGGATGGCGTGCAAGTGCTCCGTCGTGGTTTGCTGTTCCTGGGAATGCGTGTGCGGATGCAGATGGGGATGATGATGATGGTGATGATGGTGATGATGATGATGGTGATGCGCTGTCTGCGACGGCATGCTTAGGTCATTGGCGTTCTCGAAGTTTCCACCGCTGCCCCTGTATTCCTGTCCGCCCGCTGAGAAAAGTACACCAGAAGAATTCATCAGTAACTCATGATACGTTTCTATAATATTCATCCTTAACAATATTAACACGTACCTTATTACACTACAAAGCACTTCGGTAAACTAATTTAGATATCTCTATAAAGAGATATCGCTATTCAAAAAAGCCTCTGAAGATTAAGTTTTAAGGGATGACATATTTAAAAATAAGGATAAAATTCTATTAATCATTTCTCGCGAACCTATCCTTCTTAATGGATTCCGACATATATCTTTCGTTCGACCTTTCGATATAGATATAAGATAATCGTACCTCCGGGTGAGTCGTAATCCCTCGACTCATAAGGGGTGGTCGAACCGTCGTAACAGTTGTTATTGGTGCCACAGTGGGTCTGATGCAGGGGCGTATGATGGGACCCGTGGTGATGGGCAGCAGGAGGACTGCACGGTAGAGTGGTAGGTCGCGCAGCATCGCCCATCGACGCGGGAAGGCAGGGACTTAGATCCCTCGCCTGGTCCACCGCACCGGGCCCCCCCGTGCTACCGGGTCCCCCCTGGCGCCCCACAGCCAAGCCGCTGCCACGCTCCTGCGAGCTGGGCGGCTGCTGGAACAAATCGATATATCGACACTTTAGCTAGCGTATCAAATCAACGATGTCCATGTGTGTTTTGTCATGCAAAAGGCGAAGCCGGTAATATGAGTATGACGCAAGTACGAGACATTTCTTATACGTTATATTCGGAGAAAAATCCGCATTAACTGTGACTTGTCATTTTTCTTGAAATTGAGAATCAATAAAAAAATCCCTTTCACATGTAGTATCCGTTATTAGGAATTTGTAAATGAAAGTAGCATTATTCTTATTAAACTTTTGTGACTTTAAGCGATCGAGACGTACAATTTAGAAAATAGCTATTAAAGGAAATTGCAATTAATAGAAAATCGTGATAGATAAAAAGTTATCAACAATATAAGAAGATTAAAACAACAAATGGAAGAGAATTGGACAAACAAAAACAGAAAATGTGAAAATACAGGAATGAACGTAGAAAAGAAAAGAACTGAAGTTATAGAGAGAGAGAGAGAGAGAGAGAGGGAGAGAGGAAAAGAAAAATAACAAATAGCATGAAATGCAAGTGAGAATAAAAGAGAAGGATGTAAGAATTCAACGGAAGAATTAAGACATCATAAAAATAAGGTAATTAACAGAGTAAAAATATTAAGACAGTTAGAAAGACGAAAAGGATCGACGGATTAAAGGGACCAACAGGACCAAAGAAGAAGAGGAAGCCGAGGGAGATAAAAAGATATAAAAGACAAAGCGAGGACATGGCGAGGACAAGCAGGACCGATCGGACCGAACTCGCGAATGGAATGGAGGTGAAGTGACGACGGGTTGCAACCGCCGCTGTCACCAGAGGGAAGAAATGCGCGGAGAGAAAGAGTAGCACACCAGCGATGGTAGTCGGTCGTCTCTGATGGATGTCGCAAGACGCATAGCGCGCCCGCGCGCATGTGCGAGGCCCTATAAGGCACGAAGGCGGCCAATCCGATGGCAGCCACTGTGTGTTTCAAGTGTTCGCAACATGCCCGTCGCTGATTGCGTAGATATAAATTGTAAGCCCTCTCTCTTTCTCTCTCTCTCTCTCTCTCTCTCTCTCTCTCTCTCTCTCTCTCTCTCTCTCTTCTCTCTCTTTCTTTCTCTCCCCCTTTTTCCATTTAATGCCAATCACCCTTTTAATTTATTTATTTATGTATTTAGACTATTTATTTAATTCAATGTTTCTTATTTCAGTTCCTGTGATTGAGAGAGAAGAACTTCGAACGAAACATTCCCACGAAAAGATGCTGACTTTAAAAAAAAATATTATGTACCATACAATCCGAACATAAAGCCTATAATTTTTTGTTACATTTTTTTTGTTTTTTTGTATATTACATTGAACTTTCTCTACAACAATGAAATAGGCGCACAAATAAACGTTAGAAAAAAAATAAGAAAAATGTAAGAAAATGTGCAAAGAGTTCAACTATAAAAGACGTACCTACAATATACGTAAAGTATATTATAAAGAAAGGTATGACATATACCTGACATATTATATTTACTACCGAATTTAAAACGTGAAATTTTTTTATGAGACGTCCAACTTCCTTCATAAAAATCATAGTTTTTCAAAGATTCGAATCATAAATGTTTCAAAATTGTTAACTCTTAGAATCAGCTGCAGACAGATATACAACTTTTTATAACTTGTGAAATTCCTAATAATTTTCTTGAACACGGGCAGAGTTTCCTCAATAATCTTATTGTATACTTTTCTAGTCAAGAATGTGAATCATATGATTTTAAAAATTTTCGATAATTTTCCTTATTATTATATATGTTTTTATTTTTAGATTGAGTTGTAGGATCAGTTTTATTCTCGCAGAGATTTAATTAATAAATATCAAAGGCATATTCTGCAGTATAACGGGAAGCAAAAGTTCACATAGGGCGATTGTATCACGTTAACCACCGCGCGAGACGTGATCAGAATCGCTAATTCCGACGCGGATTTTATTTAACCGTTGACTTTATTTCAGCAAGCTTTCGCGGCGCGACGTAATCTTTACGTGCATGCTGTTGATCCTTACGTAATGCGGATCGGCTCGGCGAAGGCATTGCAGGAATGCGCGTTCCTCCAAGTGTCTCCCGCATTGTCCTATCCCATAATGAACCACCGTCGTGTGCGGTAACAGGCTCATTAAGCCGCGCCATGAATTATTCGCAAATCGATATCGTCCGTAATTTTGCGGAAATACCGATCCAGCCAGTCCCGCATAGAAACGAATTCAACTGCGGGCGTGACTCATCCCCCAATTCCCCCTCCGATGCTACCGTGTGACGGAAAACATAACAAAAATAGAAAAAGATAACGAAAATGCGTCACCTTCGCACGCGATGTTTGCAAACGTCACTCGTGAGGCACGAGGAAGTAATTCAAATAACACGAAGTTTAAAATCAGAATATATATAAGACATCTTTTAGGTATATATATATCTTCACATATGTAGTCACCTAAGGATGAAAGGTTATGAAGAGATCCCTCGATAAAATTCATTCATGAATTTTTCGGTAACCTTTAATCTTTAGATAATCGTCATTGTGAAAACATAGGACTTAGAGTGTCTTCAGAGCATCTTTTGGACATAAGATAAGATATGTCTATCTGGAATTTGGATTTTTTGTCGAAATTGTTTCCTAGAGACACAATCTTGAAAGATCTGATTGAATTGAAACGGAGTGCCGACGATTCCGCGACTCGTCCTGAAGATTTCGCATCTCCCGCAACTCAACAATAATACGGAAAAAGGCAGGGTCGATGTGATCGGCCGATAAATTTCTCACGAGAGCCGGCGGTCGAGCGCGATCGCGCGATCCTCTCAAGATCCTTATCCATCTCGAGAGCGGTTCGGCAACGCGTTCCCGCAGACTGCAAACAGACTTTCACCCGCAGCGACGAAGCTTGCACAAGAGCAAGGCGCGCGTCCACCTTTCCTCTCTTTTTGCTTTTTCCTCCCTTTTTTCTAATCCTCCCCCCTTTTTCTACTCGCCCCATTTTCGCGAAATCGCGGAGTAAATAATGCTCGCGCGCGCGGAATCCGCGGTCACGAGATGCCGGCACGGAAACGAGTAGAATGCCGTCAGAAATGTCGCTCCGGCTGCCGGCAGAAACCGCGCGTCCTACCGTTTCGTATACCTGCTGCGCGAATCTGTTTGTGTTTCCTTTCTTTTTTTTTTTTTCTTTCATCGTGTATACTCGCGAGACTCGCGCGAGTGCCACTTCGCGACGGCGATGCGATAATTGAAAGAACGTCGAGGGAGCACCTGTTTTATCGCTGCTGAGGATTCGTAGCGAAAAAAAGTGAAAAATAAAGTACTGTGTACTCGACGCGTAAACGATTATTAAACGATGCTACTTCAAAATATTTTAGAAGTTGGATATAGAAAAAAAGATTTTTATGTAAATCAATTCTTCTTGAATAAAATTACTAATCTCTTGTTACACACACACACACACACACACACACACACATTCTTTCATTTTTCATGTGAGATCTTTACCAGCTGTCTTACAATGGGAGTAATATTGTGTAGTAAATTATAACAGTAAGTCATAAACTGTAAGAAACTGACCAATCACAGTTGAATTCGAGAAAAATAATCAACTATGATTTGATGATTAATTTAGATTTAGGGGGCTTACTGTATCTATTATATTTCAGGATTTTAGGCTTAAGCAGTAAATGAATAGGCCAATCACGCAAAGCAATAAACGTAATATAAATAATAATAAATTCAAAAAACGTTGATTTGCTTACTAGGTCTTACTTTCTACATTTTTCGTATCATAACCTTTACATTTCTAATATTATTAACTTTACATATATAAAATGTATAAAATAAAGTGCAGAAACACATGTTTGTGAGATAATTATATCGTATATCGAAGGTTAAACGTTTACTTTTAACACTTTGAATTTTAAATTCGAAGCGCTGCAAATGTAAGTTGTATAATTTCGTTGTTACTCGAAAGAACATTCGGCGATCCCGAGATACCTGGTCAACGACGGTCAGCGAAGAGCGTTAACAAACGTGGCGCAGCGACGGGACTTGAAAAATGGAGCCGTCGCGCCGGTCGCAGACGGTAATTTGTTTGAAAACGCGAGACCGAGTGCGTTCCGACTACGGAAAAGCATGCACGATAACCTTACGTCACGACCTACCGAGATACAGCGTTATCGCAGTAAATTGTAACTCGGCTCTCTTTTTCAACGCTCAACGCCCGAAGAAGAAGCCCGGAACGGCTGCGGCTGAGTCAGCGAAATTTCTTTCAGCATCGACAACGACGGCGCGCGGCGGCGACGGGTAAAAAATTATCGGGATGGCTCGTCCTCGATATCAATGGCGCAGCAACGTCGCTGACGTCGTCACAGTTCTTCGACTTTAACTCGAAACCCGATTATAACGTATACCAGATAGCAAATAACTTTTTCTATCGACGCGACGATTAACAAACAACGATAGTTGCTTTTGAAAATTTTACGTTTTTGGCAATGAATGAAGACCCTTACATTTTTCCTCCCTTATACAGAAATATCCCTTTCGGAATTCTCCAACATTCTTTAACACAACTTATGTTATGCATTAATAAGTAAATAGCAATTATATTACAAATATATATTACGCAAGAAGTGAGTATTAATATTTTGAATCGTTAATATGGCTTATAATAATAACTTTTTGAATTATTTATCATGCGTCAGTTACTGTTCAATCTTAAAACGCAGTTCAACACTATAGAAAAAGAGAGAGAGAGAGAGAGAGAGAGAGAGAAAGAATCAAGATTGTTTACTCAATAAAAACTTAAACAAATAAGTTATTCTGAAAAAAAAGAATGTGATGAAAAACGAAATATCGCATCTCGATACAAAAGCTGTAATTATTATTGAAAAAGTCGAAGAATTTTAGAATTCTGTTTTTTATACAAAAATTAATTAATCTAAAAAATAGAAACGATCAATAATGATCGCTCGGTGCTTTCAGTGTTAATTTTAAA